GTTTTCTCCGGGTCCTCCGGTTTCCTCCCACTGCTAAAGACCCCTACGTGCAAGCGAATTATTGAAATAAAATTAAACCATATGTTAGTCCCGAAATGACCCAGTTTGTGTCGAGTGGACGTTAAACCCTATTTCTCTCTCTCTCCTTGTCAGTGGTTCAGGATGGAGTCCTTTGGCAAAGGGACAGCATATACATGTAGTCATTTGGATAGGAAGAAAAAAATGAGGTCCTGTGTAAACACTGGCATGCACATTAAAGATCCTTTGGCAGTTGGAATTCTATATAAGATTAGGCTGTTTTGCCGCTATCCAGGCAAAATTACCCTAAAAGCACACTGGTGTATACTCGCTGTCATTAGCCCAATCAGAGCAGGACAGTAGCCCATTTCATTTCCTTGCATGAACAATCATTCAGGTAGAATAAAATATCGTTTAGGTAGGGCCATGCTGCCTCTGGGCAAAAGAAAACTTGACAGATTGAATAGACGGAAACGTTGCGGTCTAGGCAAAATTACCAGCATAGCGCACGGTTCGGCATGTACACCTGTCTTCATTAGCGGTTATTACCAGCATAGCGCACGGTTCGGCATGTACACCTGTCTTCATTAGCGGTTATTACAAGCATAGCGCACGGTTCGGCATGTACACCTGTCTTCATTAGCGGTTATTACCTGGATAGTGCACTTTTTGGCATGTACACCTGTCTCCATTAGCGGTAATCACCCAGATAGCGCACTATTTGGCATGCATACCTGTCTTCATTGGCGGTTATAACCTGGATAGCGCACTTTTTGGCATGTTCACATGTCTTCATTAGCGGTAATCACCTCGATAGTGCACTGTTTGGCATGCATACTTTGTCTTCATTAGCGGACATTACCTGGATAGCGCACTGTTTGGCATATACACCCGTCTTCGTTAGCGATTATTAATGAGATAGCGCACTGTGTGGCATACACCCGTCTTCATTAGCAGTTATTAACGACATAGCACACTGTTTGGCATGCATACCTGTGCTTATTAGCAGTTATTACCTGGGATTTCTTGAAAGAAACAAATTGATCACGATTAAAATGTTTTAAATAAATTATATAAATTAGTTGTATACATGTAAACAGATTCCATGACTATCGTTTAATAGTCTGGAGTTCATTCGGTGATCGTAATTAAGACTTTCCTGTCACTGTGTTTTATCGGCATCTGTACTAAATGACTTGTGAATTTGTTTTGACACGAACGTCGAGTGTGGATCATGCTAAAAGGACATTAAACATTCAATAACTGATGATTGATTTATTAGTTTGCACTATTATCTTCTTAGTATCTATTTATTTATCTATATTCATACCTGGTAATTGACCTTAGATACCCTAATATATGCTCTGCTTGGATTACATACCTGGTATTTTACCTGAGATAATCTAAGAAACATTCTACTGGGTAGTAAATGATTTACCTGGATCATAAACATTTTACCTGATATTTTACCTTAGATAGTCTAATATATGCTCTGCTTGGATTACATACCAGGTATTTTACCTGAGACACTCTAAGAAACATTCTACTGGGTAATAAACGATTTACCTGGATCATAAATGTTTTACCTTAGATAGTCTAATAAATGCTCACCTACCCAACCTTGTGAATTTTCTCTAGGTCCTCCATTATCACCTCACTACTAATTCATTGTAGTCCGGGTATCATTTAATCTTGTGTATTTAGCACTAATTTCTTTCACATTCGTTTAATATCAAATCTTGTAAAATTTGTAAAAGGTTGTTTAAAATCACCAGAAATCATCCAATTTGTACTTGTGTCCAGTTTAAAGCAGGCCATTCAGTTATGATAGTCCAATTTACAAGCATTTAATTTCTTTATCACTGTTAAAAAATAAACCACCCAATTGATTATTGATGGGGTGGAGGGCCCGACAAGAACAGCTGTCTAGTGGTTCGGATGGGAAGAAAATCCAAGGTCCTGTACACATTGGCATGCACGTAACAGTAGGATGTTAAACCCCATTTCATTTCATTTCTCTCTCTCTGAAAACCACTCTACCTGGATTACTCACCTTCATTATACTAGTGTTTACCAGGTATTTTACCATAAATTCCCAGGTGAAACTTCCATAGGGACTGCCTGATTTTATTTGACAGATGGGATGGCCTCAAGTCAAGTTAGAGTATTTATTAGAATAGCTACTGTATATAGTATGATTTGATAGGTAGCTTAGGGTCAAGGTGATTTGATTTAAACAATATTTTATTCACATGATACTGAAACAAACCGATGGCTTATATAAATAAGCTTCCCAAGCTAGAATATATTTTAGGTTTACAGTACTATCTACAGTGGTTAAACGATCTGTGAGGAGATAAGGCTAGAACATTTATCAGGATAACTACATTACAATGAATTGTTTGTAAATAAAGCTGGAGCATTTATCAGGATAGCTACAGTACAATGATTTTTTTTGTTTTTTGTAGATAATGCTAGAACATTTATCAGGATAGCTACAGTACAATGAATCATTTGTAAATTAAAATCTAGAACATTTATTTGAATAGCTACAGTACAATGAATCGTTTGTAGATTTAAATCTAGAACATTTATCAGGATAGCTACAGTACAATGAATCGTTTGTAGATTTAAATCTAGAACATTTATTTGAATAGCTACAGTACAATGAATCGTTTGTAGATAAAACTGGAACATTTATTTGAATAGCTACAGTACAATGAATCTTTTGAACATAAAACTAGAACATTTATCAGGATAGCTACAGTACAATGAATAATTTGTAGATAAATCTAGAACATTTATCAGGATAGCTACAGTACAATGAATCGTTTGTAGATTTAAAGCTAGATCATTTATTTGGTTAACTAGAGTCCAATGATTTGTTGACTAGTTGTTGTTTAATGATTTGTGTGTAGTGATCTATACCTAATCAATAAATACCTTATTGATTTATTTATACTCACATACCTGGTACTTTATATAATTACCTATAGACAATCAATTTGTTTTAATTTGTTTTTATTATGACAAAGAGAGAAGATGACCCGCCCGCCCTCTCTTCTCATGACAGGGAGTGTGTTTTAAAGTGACCTTTTCATATATAAGAACTTTTTTTTATATTTTTGTGTTTTTAAGGTGACTTTTGATATACAGGGGGGGTTGTATGGCCGAATGATTAGCAAGCGCGCGCTGTATCATGAGGTCTGTCATTGAGTCAACTGGCGTGGTTTCGAATCCCCAGTTGTACGTGACAAGGAGTAGGGTTGCCTGTCCAACCTCGTGGGTTTTCTCCGGGTCCTCCGGTTTCCTCCCACTGCTAAAGACCCCTACGCGCAAGCGAATTATTGAAATAAAATTAAACCACATGTTAGTCCCGAAATGACCTAGTCTGTGTCGAGTGGACGTTAAACCCCATTTCTCTCTCTCTCTTTGATATACAGAGACTTTTTTATTTTGTGTTCTTACCAATTTTCAACCCTTTAAATGTAAATTATTTACTTAAATCAACCTGTCCATAATATCATACTTTATGTATTGGGCGTTAATTCTGTAATAAACAACAACAACGAGAGAGAAAAAAGACCACAGATTAAACGAAGGGCTGTCATGTTGCTGTACTTGGGATAGATTTGATTGAACGGAAAGAATAGACATACTCCCTCAAAAGCTCAAGTATCAGAAGCCGATCCAGCAATGGCCAGAGAGGGATATTTCTTGGGCCATTGCTTCAGGAATATGATAAACAATCAAAATATAAATCATTTAGACAAAGTCACGATTTTATATTAATCATCACGTCGATGTGAAACCTTAAAGTTGCTAAATCCTGATCATGTATCTTTTTCACTGCTTCAAGATGCATTATTGAAGACGTAGATCTAGAGCAGGATTTTCTTGCTATAATAGTTAAAAAATAGATGGTCAAAAATGAATATATTAAAAATGTCATTCAAATTTCTTTATTCTGGATGAAGTTATCAATATTTGAAGATATAGCGTAGATTGTTTATTATCACAGCAACAGCACTTGACAACAGAGACTAATTTTTCACAGCTTAATCGACAATAATACATAATCAAATTCATTATTTAAAGGACAATATTATTGGTGTCAGTCATTATCACATATGTGATAGAACTGGTTAAACACGTCTCAAATATAATTTTAAAATAGAGAACATTGCTACGGTAGATGCGTTATGAAGATTTCCAGATATGGGTCAAACTCAATTTTCACCATGGTTTTTCTAGATTACAGAAAAAAAGTAGGATGTTAAACCCCATTTCAATACAGAACTCAAATCTCTAACTAAAAAAAAAACGTGTAGTTATGTCCCTTTGATAACGCTAGGTTCCCACTGTCATGCAATGCGTTACGATGGGATTGTTCCTATTCAGTGCACAATCTTGTATGTGCAGATACATTCGGATACGTTTATTTTCTCAGAAGGATGTTGAGTAATTAACAGACTAATTAATTAATCAACACTCTAGAAACTAAACAGTTATAAACACTCATTATCTAATCTAGACAGACCATTTAAATTACACAACAGTAGAAACTCAATGGTTTTCTAGGATTCTCAACAGATTTGATCAGTTTTCCAACAATCGATTGAAACTAAACATTAAATACAGAAACTCCTGCTAAAACAACACAACTAAATGATACCCAAGTTGACATTCAAGCCTGGAAATAAGGCGCCTGTCACAGACAATATCAGACACAGATTCGGGCTTTGACAGGCACAAAACTTGTGGTGCCTGTCATTTTGTCCGACACTGATTTGTCTTTTCATTTGATATTATTAATAGATGTCCGGCACTGAGTTGAAATTGTCAGGTACATCTAAAACCGTTATTTCCATGCCTGCAAATTGTAGTGGTTAATGAAAGATAGCATTTTCTTAACATCACATCACATCACGTATACAACTGACAACACGATCAGATTATATTATAATTGTGATGTTTTTCAGGTTCAGTTCCGTGAAGTAGAGATGTCTGCTCTACATGAAGAGAGACAGAGAAGAGAAGAGTTAGAAAGGAAGTTACAGGAAGAAACGAGATTGAGAGAAGAGATAATAAATCAACAAGTTAAAATGAGAGAAAAACAGAGGCAACAGGTAAATAAATATAACAACCAATTTGTTTCATCGTAAGAACAGGTAAATAAATATAACAACCAATTTGTTTCATCGTAAGAACAGGTAAATAAATATAACAACCAATTTGTTTCATCGTAAGCATCATGCTGATTGGGAATTGATACGCGAAAATCTCAGGGGTAAGGGTGACCGAAGCTCAAAGCCATTGCATGGTTGCCGCTGGTTACACAAGGACACAGGCTTCAACATAGGAATTTCAAGGGCTTGACATGCAGAGATGACACACCTGTCAATATATGAAATTAAATGGAGTTTTAGCAACCTGTTATTCTGTACCAACTGTGGGTAGTGAAGATGGGAGTATACAGCCTACTCTTATTTCGATTTTCAACTGCCAAGGGTTCTTTTACGTGCACACCAATGTGTACGTGGGACCTCTGTTTTTCCGTACCATCCAAACAACTATATGCTGTCCCTTGCCAGGCCCTCCGTCCTCCACCACTGACCAGGAAAGACCACGCCATTAGGAAATATTTTATGTGCTGCCTATGGTATACATGGTACCTTGTTTTCTTTGTCCAATGCAAACTACAAGACAATTTCGTTGTCAGGCCTGACCTCCGGAGTCATGGTGACTGAGTGAGTAGGATGCACCACCCCTATGAAAGAGACCTGCCAAAGATTAATGACTCCCCTATGAAAGAGACCTACCTAAGATTGATTTAAGATATGTCTCATTTTAGTACTGGACCTTTGTTTGGTTTCCATTGGTTTTAAACCAATCAAAATATAATTAACAATAACATCCTGAATTTTTCTCGTTTCAGGCACGGCCATTGACCAGATATTTACCAATCAGAAATAAGGAATTTGATTTACGCCAGCACATAGAATCAGCTGGTCATCATGTTGAGGCATGCTCGCACGTCATAGTGACGTCAAACAGTTGTCGCGGTTTTCTCCATAAAATGGGAAACAAATTTAAAACATGGCATAAACGTTGGTTTGTGTTTGATCGCGTGAAGCGATCGTTGACTTATTATGGAGATAAAACTGAATCGAAGCAACGAGGCGGAATTTACTTCCAGGCCATAGAAGAAGTATATGTGGACCATTTACGCACAGTCAAAAGCCCGAACCCTAAATTAACATTTTGTGTGAAGACGTACGATAGGACCTACTTTCTTGTGGCGCCAACACCTGAAGCGATGGGTATCTGGATTGATGTTGTGTTTACAGGAGCGGAGGGATACCAACAATTTTTATGATGTGGTTAATGTGTGTTTATAAAGTGATATTTTTTTATATATAAAGTGCGTTACTAGGGTTTACGACTGTGTTAATATGCAAAGTGACGGAGGATATATTTTATGGGATAGTTGAAAGAAATCGTCAGACAACCGATTTTTACAATAATGTGCTTTTGTGTTTTAATTCCAAGGTGCTGAGAGAGAGAAACGTACAGCAACTCTCAAAGTGTTTTTATTCTGTATACTGTAAATACTTCTCTATATTCTCCGCGAACATTAACTAAATCCAGGCGCGGACAAATCCAGATTCAGAAAATTGCTTTACATAAAGGAAATACCAAATTCATTTTGAATTATTCTTGTTATGATAAACTGCTGCTAAAGTTTTGAATTTCTTTTATGTAGCCCTATTTTAAAGTTGTCACAATTAACAATGTCTTTAAATTTTTAATTTTAAAAAAAAAGTATTTTATATTTCTGTTTTTATGAAAAGACTTACAAATCAAGTTATTGTTACAGAAGATCTTATGAAACTTTTATATTCATTTTATTTTTGTTTATTCTTTGTGTGTCAGTGTTGTTTTCATGTTTTTATGTAATTGTAGCAAAAGTTAAAACATCGTAAACAAGTAACGATCGTCAGAAATATTTTGAGTTTTTTTCCAAATAGATGCTAATATCCGAGATTCTCAATTTCTTGTTCTTGTAACTTTACATTTTCTCTGGTTCAACTGTTGAAATACTTTTTCTCTGGTTACCTCCCTTTGTTATCGATGATCTAATGGTATTACCATTCTGAGCTTTTATTGTTAACTTTTGGACATTAGTATATGTTACTCTGAAAATGACAGATTTATTTTCAAGTGAATAGCTGACGCCAACATGAACTAGCATACGGTCCTACAATGTAATACCTTGGTCTGTTTGTAACGGTCTAATGAACTGTAGTTTTGACTGGTTTCTGGCTTTCTCTAATCTTTTTCAAGGAAATGGAGTAGTCAATATTTGCATGTACCAAGTGCTAAAGGAACCAATACGGGCCTTTATATAACTATTATAAATATTTCTGACAGCGGTTTGCTTGTTTATGAAAGTTGATGTGTAAAGGCAATTTAAATCAGATTTATTTGTCGCACCATTGTATGAAATTTAAAATCAAACCTTAAAATTGTACAGGCCCATAACTAAGGGAGGAGGGGGGCACAGGATGGGGTGGGGGTGGGGGGTTGCTTATTTGGCCTCCTCCCCCTGTGAAAAAAATAGATAAACATTATCCGTCATTTTTACAGCACCCCTGAGAACATTTCCCGCCCCCCTCATTGCTCTGAGCTAGTTACGGCTCTGGAATTGTAAATACATTTTATACACTAAGCACATTTACTATTTAGTCTGAACTCAAATATGGAATTAAAATATTACCGTTAGACTTTAATGTTATTTTGTTTAAGGTATAAAAACAGATACATGTAATTATTAGTGTTAAAATATTATAAATAATAATAAATTTTGCACACTAAGCTGATTTACAGTTTAGTTTGAATTTTATTATGTCTGAAATGTGAAATTAAAAATATAAAAATAATGTTATCTTATTTAAGGTATAAAAATGAATGTTATCTTTTTTGTTAGGTATAAAAATGAATGCTATCTTTTTTTAGGTATAAAAACATGAAATTAAAAATATAACAATTAGACTGAATTCCAATATGGAATCAATAACCAAAATGGTTAAAATGTTTTCTCTTATTTATAAAAACATAAAATTAAAAATAAAAGTACATGTATAAAAGTTAAAATGGTACAAGCAATTATCGGTACAATGTACATTAGATATTTATTTTCGAAAAAACATTTTTTTTAATTTAATTTACACTATTTTAATTTTTGTTTTGTTAGAAATTTTTTATAAATACCAGAAATATAATATAATGAAATTTTATAAAAGATTTTCGGAAACTATTTCATTCTGCATTTATATCATATGTATGTAAATACATGTTAAATTTTAATTTTTAAAAAAATCAGTGACCTTATACCATAAAATAAGATGTTGAATCAGTTAAATTGTATATAACATCCCAAATTATAAAATAATCCAGTTATATTGCTGTTTTTATGTTTTATTTTGTATAAAATCTTCTGTTATTTTTAGTTCTATATCAATTTTAGAATATTATGTACAGTGCTCGGATAAAGAATTGTAATTATTATTATACAGTTTTAAACTATATGTCATGGAACTATTTTATACTGTATATAATAAATTAAATTTCCATGAATTTTTAAAATGGATTATTAATTATCCGAAACCAAATAATTTTGGCATTATTAGCACCAAAGCAGTTTTGAACATCTTGGAAGAAAGGTCCGTGTGGGACCACAATCCAAAAAACTTCAAAGACTGAAAATTCGGTAAATAGTTATATGTACAAGTTAAAAGTTAAAGATGCCATAATTCTAAATATTTTATATGAAATACTGTGGACAAAAGAAAGTTTTCTTGTTTTTTTCTTCAGCGTAAATCAGTGGTGTAAGGGAAATAACTCCATTTAACACTTATTCAATGTGTATTGTTACTCGCTTTGGAGAAAGATGAATAAAAGTATGACATGTACTTAAATTTAATTATAAAAATATACACGATAAGCATTTAAATGATTGAATGAAATGAAATTCTTTAATTAGGCCTACCAAAATATTAAATCCCTTGATCGTCATTTTTTTATCAGAAAATATCTAATTTCTCATGGTCTAATCCATGCAAATTTTTTTCACATTAGGCCTAAATATTAACAGTAGATAATCTCCCAGATTGGATTTAAAAGAGTCCCATCAAAAATTTCGCAAAGATTGTTTGTTCCATTTCCCGTCGCAAGAGAATACAGAATGTTGACTTTCATTATATTATGGTAAAAAAAATTGGGACTGATATTCCTTTTATATCCCAATCTGATTATTACACAGATCCTATTTCATTTCGTTTTATATAGTTTAAAATTTCGTTTCACTTGTCTTTACTACACTAGGTTCTAGAAGAGTTTTTATATTACTGGCGTTTTGGTTCAAGTGAGGGATTATCCCATGAAACAGTCTGTTCCGGCAACTTCTTGGTGTGCCATGCATGGAACTGTGGGTAAACCACTAGAAACGTCAACGCTGATTGATTAATAAATGTCTGATGTCATAGGGTCAAAAGCCGCTTGTACAACTCCTGACATGACCTTCCACTACAACTTGTCAGATATTCATGTAGTGTAGGCCATCGAAAGTATAAAAAAAAAACGAAACGAAATATAGATCTGTATTTTAAACAGATTGTTTAAAACCCCAACTTTCTCAATATTGTAGTTTTCAAAAGATTAAACTTCCTTGAAATGACATTCACACAGTGAATGTTAACTATGGTAATATTTATTTGATTTAAATAAATAATGTCTTTATACAAGTGGTTAAATATAATACTGTTTATTTATATGCCGAAATTCTACTATGATGATTAAATACTATATACTCAGGAAACTTATTTTGTTTAACTTTATCCTGAATGGTTACCTCCCCTTTGTGATAGAGAAATGGGGTTTAACGTCCATTCGACACAACCTAGGTCATTTCGGGACTGACATGGTTTAATTTTGTTCCAATTTAATTAGCTTGTGCAAAGGGGTCTTCACCAGTGGGAGGAACCAGAGGACCTGGAGAAACCCCACGAGGTTAGACAGGCGACCCTACTCCTTGTCATGTACAACGACAGACTCAATGACAGGCCTTTATGATATAACGCGCACATGCTAACCATTCGGCCTATGGAAGTATAACGTTGCCAATATTATTTCATTGTTCACGGTGCAAACTGCAAATGTCAGTAGTTCAAAATACCTATTTTAGTTTTACAATTTGCAATTTCCATTGCTCAACAATACCAATGCCACGGTGTTAAAATACAGAATACACTTTTCAATAATACAAAATACAGTAGAATAGTTATTTTGCACATTACACTTCTGCATTCTGCATTTTGCATAATAGACAAATGCATAATAGAACCTTGCAAAGTAGAACATATACCTTATATGGGATGTACGACGTACGTCATTTGCATACGGAAAAAAGTCCGGACTATGACGGAAATTAATGATTTAAGCGGTAAAGCCATCAGGTCACCTGGATACAAAATGAAGTTAGCACACATATTCCTAGCGCCAATAAAAATCTAGATATAATTATCACGAAAATAATTGTTACCTTTATATTAGAAAACGACATATTAATGCAAAGTATATTTGTAATAGACCCCCCCTCCTCCCTCCCTCCCTCATGAAAAAAAATATTATTACCGTAAACATACTAAAATATCGCACACTAGGCTAACTGAGCACACAGAAAAGGGGTACGCCCACGCTGCATCAAAACGCACCGAAACTAGCTTTGGTGGCAAAATGTTTTTTTGTTTCATGGAATCAAGGGATGAATAATCTACTAGAATACAAATTTTCACAAGCTTCCTAAGCTGGCTTTTAGAGAAATTTCACCGTAAACATACTAAAACCATGGGGGGGGGGGGGGGATCGGGTAAGGATAGGCTCATGGCGCACGCAATAACTTATAAAATAGCTTGGTGGCTCCAAGATCTTTATTTCACCAAATCAACAGATGGATAAGATATGAACAGGCCAATTTTCATTTACTTTTTATGTTGGCGTATCGAGTTATACCGCCGCAAAGTTCCCAGCACCTGGATTCGAGGCGGGGTTCGCGGGTGTAATAAACAAGGGGTACGTCCACACTGCACCAAAAAGCACTCCAAACTGGCTTTGGTGGCAAAATGTTATGTATTTCACGGAGTCAAGGGATGAATTAACTACTAGAATACAAAAATCCAGAAGCCTCCTATGCTGGCTTTTAGAGATATATGTTGGCGTATCGAGATATACCACCGCAAAGTACCTAGCACCCGGATTCGAGACGGGGTTCGTGGGTTCAATAAATAAGGGGTACGTCCACGCTGCATCAAAAAGCACCCAAACCAGCTTTGTTGGCAAACTGTTTTGTATTTCACAGAGTCAAGGGTTGAATAAACTACTAGAATACAAAAATCCAGAAGCCTTGTATGCTGGCTTTTTGAGATATATTACCGTAAACATACTAAAAATATGGGGGAAGCGTGTTAGGGTAGACTCACTGCGCACGCAATCACGTCTAAACTAGCTTTGATGGCTCCAGGATCTTTATTTCACCCAATTGACAGGTGCATAAGGTATGAACATGCCAAATTTCATTAACTTTCTATGTTGGCGTATCGAGTTATACCACCGCAAACTTCCTAGCATCATTAGTGGCAAAATGTTTTTTGTTTCACAAAATCAAGGGATGAATAAACTACTAGACTGCACAATTTCAGAAGCCTACTACGTTGGCTTTTTGAGATATATTACCGTAAACGTACTAAATATGTGAGGGAATCGGGATAGGGTAGGCTCGCTGCGCACACAATAACTTCTAAATTAACTTTGGTGGCTCCAAGATCTTTATTTCACCAAATCGACAGATGCATAAGGTGTGAACATGCCAAATTTCATTAACTTTCTATGTTGGGGTATCGAAAAGTTCTGAGCACCGGATTCGAGGTGGGGTTCGTGGGTACAATAAACAAGGGGTATGCCTACGTTTCATCAAAAAGCACCCGAACCAGCTTTGGTGGCAACATGTTTTGTATTTCACAGAGTCAAGGGATGGATAAACTACGAGAATACAAAAATCCAGAAGCCTTCTATGCTGGCTTTTGATGATATATTACCGTAAACTTACTAAATATGTGGGGAATCGAGTTAGGGCAGGCTAGCTTTGGTGGCTCATCATCATCATCATCATCATCATTATCATCATCATCGGTGAGGCCTTTAGATAGGTCAGCGACCTTTTGGCCGATCAGATTTTCCAAACAGGAATTCACGGCATTTATTAGATTTTTATTTCAGCAAATTTCTTTGGGGGGGGGGGGGGGTCTATTACACATTATTATATACTTTGCATTAATATGTCTAAAATTCTATTTTCTAATATAAAGGTAACAATTATTTTCCTGATAATCATATCGAGGTTTTTATTGGCGCTAGGAATATGTGTGCTAACTTCATTTCGAATCCGGGTGCTGGAATACGGGTGAGAGATTCCGCTCGGTTACTATAAGATTCTTTAACTTTACCCCAAAAAAGGGTTTTAGAGACCTTTCAATTAAATAAGATATTCAATTTAATTTTTAACAAGAAATTGATTCACTGGAAATATCTGTTTTTTACCGATGAGAACAAATAAGAATAGTCTCGTTAAACCAGTCGACTATCTTTCAGAATCCTCTAATCGTCGAACTGATTACATTATAGAGCCTGGACGTTGAAGACTAACAAAATCGAGTACTGCCCCCCCCCCCTTCTAATGACCTCGGTCTTATGGCTTTATCGCGTAAATCATTAATTTCCGTCATAGTCCGGATTTTTTTCCGTATAGAAATGACGTACGTCGTACATCCCATATAAGGTATATGTTCTACTTTGCAAGGTTCTATTATGCATTTGTCTATTATGCAAAATGCAGAATGCAGAAGTGTAATGTGCAAAATAACTATTATACTGTATTTTGTATTATGGAAAAGTGTATTCTGTATTTTAACACCGTGACATTGGTATTGTTGAGCAATGGAAATTGTAAATTGTAAAACTAAAATACGTATTTTGAACTACTGACATTTGCAGTTTGCACCGTGAACAATGAAATAATATTGGCAACGTTAAACTTCCATATCGGCCATCCACAATGTTTGTGTATTTTTTTTTTTTTGCATCACTTCTAGTTTTATCAAATCAACGTTACGCATCTGCCGTAGCAATGGTCTATGTGTTTAACCAGTTCTATCACACATTTAATATTGGCCGACAACAACATTATAACCTTTAAAAGAATGTGATCAGTTGGGTTTTCCCGTGAGCTACATCAAGTTATCAGAAACGAACAGTCTACAGGCACAGAAGATAACCGAACACAAGCAACAAATAGACACGAAATGGTACTATCACTTCGGTAAAAACAAAAATGACAAATTAATAAATTTGCAAATACGCAATCCTTCTAGATTCTGAAAAGATAGCCAAGTAAATCGTGGAATAAAAATGATATGAAAGGGGTTTAATGTCTTACTGTTCTGCTCCAACTGGGATAATTAAAACAGGCATGTGCCATACAGTGTGCTATGAGGGAAATTTTGCCCTCAGGGGAAAGCACTCTGGAAAATTTAAATGAATTTTCTCGGCCAACAATGGGAGAGATCCCGTGACCTCCAGACTAGCGAGCCATCAGCTTAGTAGTCACTGTGGCTTCCTTAAAATCGTGCAAATACACACACACAGCAGCTACATGTATGTCTCGAAAACAGATGGCCATAAACGGCAGCTTATCCAATGTTGGATGTTGGCCAGATTTGATTCGATGCCTTCGTTTAACCAATACATCTGACCCCTATCATGTTCACAAGCTTTTCTGGTCTTGTGCAATGACATGTGCGATGACATATTTAGTCTGTAGATAATTGGGGGGTTGGATGGCTGAATGGTTAGCGTGCGCGCGCTGTATCATAAAGTCTGTCATTGAGTCGACTGGCGTGGTTTCGAATCCCCGGTTGTACGTGACAAGGAGTAGGGTCGCCTGTCCAACCTCGTGGGTTTTCTCCGGGTCCTCCGGTTTCCTCCCACTGCTAAAGACCCCTACGCGCAAGCGAATTATTGAAATAAAATTAAAACCATATGTTATTCCCGAAATGACCTAGTTTGTGTCGAGTGGACGTTAAACCCCATTTCTCTCTCTCTGTAGATAATTAAGCACACCGATTGTGTGTTTAAAAGTTGACATGGACTAAAACAGAAGATAAGAAACTAAGGAAACTACTGTCAAAGTTCTTTAACATGC